CCATGGTCGAGGGTGCTGCGTGCACTTGACCATGGCTGGGCATGAACTGGCATGGCGTGGCTGTTGCACGGCTTGCAGTGCGGCGCAGGCCACGGACATGCGCGCTGACGCGCACTGGCGTGCCCTCGGGCACGGCTGGCATTATCAACGTGCGACTGGACGCTGCGGATGTGCGCTAGCACATCGCAGGCACCAGACTGGATGTTGCCGTGTGCTATGTGCACAGGCATGCACATGACTTGTGTTGTTGGACGCTGTTGTGTGTCACAGCGGCAACTGGGTGCGTGATTGTGTGTACTGGCGTGCACAGTGCACAGCTACCATGCATATGCACTGCCAGTGGACTACCGCTGCGTGCAGGGGTTACGCGCGACGCCCGACTGGGCGTGTTTGCGCGCTGTCCGCTGCAGTGACTGGTTGCTGGCGTGTTGCTGCCGCTACGTGCGGACAGCTCGGCCACGACCGACCCTTGTCGGCTGTTTAGCGACTACTCTCGACCGAACCAACATAAAACAACCTAATATGAATTTTCATGACTATACACGCTGAATTCACTCAACAGCTATGAACTTCACTCGATGAACTGACGTAGCGTCGAGATGTGCGCACCGTACGCCCATGTTCGGCGTTAAGCCAATTCTTCGAGTAAACATGAACTTTTCTCGAATGACTTCAAGAAACTGGTCATCATATACTATTTAAAGACTATTGAGACAAGGATTAATCGAACAATTCTAATCATATTGAAAGATAACACGAGAGGGCATACAACGGCCTGTAGGCGTGCACTACGCGTGCTGCCGACTTCCTTAGGCCAACACATGAACAAAACCACAACTTGTCTCGACCTATCTTTTAAAACTGATCATATAATGACCTAAAATGATCAAGTAAGCATGTATTACTCGGTGTTATCCGAACAGAACTAAGCATCACTCGGTCATGGCCAATATGGCCTAAAGCGAACCTATCATGTACTACTCATGAATTTCTTGACATGAACTACTTGATTCAGTATTAACATGACTTAATAAACATAAAAGGAGGTTAGAACTGAAGTTAACTCTTCAAACTCTCGATGAATTGCACAAGGTTTCGTATGATCACTCGTCCGACAAGCTTGTGCGTACATGCTTACTTAATTTGCCTAACCTTGCTTAGTGTTTACTTTAGATGTAATATTGAATTTTTACACCCAACTTTCAGATTTAATAGAAGCTGAACGTTGGTGAAAATTGGTGGGAAAGTCTCGGCCAATGGCCTCTCGCCACTTGCCGTGCGATGAGGGCCTTAGGTGGCTCTTTAACGGCTTAGTCATCGCTCCCTTCTCCACAGGCTTCCATGTGTCCGTATCATGATAAAATGGCACGTGAAGATGTGGAGACCCAAAATCTTACGGCCATTAGATGTGCTAAGACGAGCTTATGTGCACTAATGGTCGTGCTAAGCTTGCTTGGTGCTAAGATAAACACAATTATCTTTAAACATGATTAACATTAACTAATCCTCATTAATGTTAAGTAATCATCATTAACATTAAGCTAATCATGATTATCTTTAAGCTAATTATGATTAATTAGCTTAAACATGGATTAAGTTAATTAAGCAAAGGTTAATGACCATCACTCAATTAACGATGGACAGTGTACTAATGTGAACGCGTCGCTGTATAGGAATGGCGACGTTCATATATGGTAACCTTAACCGAACGTACTTATTTTCGGTTATAACTTGACCTCGGAACATAATTCGAACATTCTTAACTTCGACGATTAATCCGAACATTAATATTTCGAATAGTTCGTCAACTTGGCTTTTTAATTCCGAACTCATTAACTAATTAAATGAATCGGAATTAAATCTGAAAACTTATCGACTAATAGTTGAACTTGGAATATGACTGACTGAATCACTTGAACTTGAACATAAACATAATTTATTAACAAAGGCTAGGTTTAAAATTAAAAGCTAGTATTTTCCTTTATTAATAAAACTCGGGGTATAACACAATATGTCTCCACCAAGCATAAATCTGACACCATTTTGCAACGGTTGATGGTTCATTTAATTACTATTTCTACTATCAATATACAAAGGATTGCTAATTTTCCATTACCGTCAGCATCATGAAGAAGCTGATAGAATTGGTGCATCCTCCAAGAATAGTTAATAACTCTGACGAAGCTAATTTTGTCCTAAACTTTTCTTTTAGAGAAAGAGTGGCCATGAATAATAGGAAAGAGTATAGCATGTAACTCCACGCTACAACATTATTCTCAATTTGACAATAAAAGCTAGAAAACGGAACCACACAAAAAGAATAAGTAAAGAAATAAAGGCTTAGAAATGTAAACAATTTGTCGTAATTGTTGGAGACTGGCTAGCTACATCTATAGGGGGAATTTTATATCGACCCAAAAATAGTTTTATAAGAATCTCCACAGTCCACAGACCAATGATTTGTAATTATATAACTTTTTTAGCAAATGCTTGTCTGCAACGTTAGATCAACAACATTTTCCAATAAAATCACCAACTATCTATAACAAAGACATTTTCAGCTGCAAGACCTAGTAGCTATTTCGTATGCAGTTTGTATTCTACATCCCATCAAGTAATTATGCAATCCTAGTCAGAACAAAACGTAGACCTCCTCGTTATGTAATCTCCGCACTATTGCATTGTTATAGAAACGACTTTACTACAATACCATAGTGGCAAACACTTGAGATTCATGATTTTCCAGCTTCATTACACCAACTTTCATGGTACAAATTTCAACACAGAAACTGAAGCATATCTTTATGGAAAAGAAAAACAAGTAACGAAGCTAGGACACCGACGATAATCAAAAGTTTGTAACCTAAAAAATAAAGAAATTTTAGTTCAATAAACGACTTAATCAAAATAAATCAGACCCAAACCCAAATCCACTTGTGACCTAATAAACAAATCGGATGAACAAATGATTAAATCAAATTATCGATTTCCTTAATGAACCCAAAAACCCAGGTCAAATCCATCATCAACATGTACCATCACTCACAAAAAAATCGCATCACAGATAGATTTTAGCTAGATGTAATATATTGACCTATCTTAGAGTCCCCCGAGAAAGGCGATCCATTGAGAAACATCCCAAAGAAAGTGTCATCTTCAGAATCTAGGAGTATAATTTGAACAATATTATTTTCTTTTGTGAGAAAGTTTTTGTGAGTTGATGAGTTAATGTCTTAGCTAACATAGTTTTTGCCAATCACTGAGTTTATTCCACTTAAGAAACATTCCTATTATCTTTTCAAGAGTTTTGTAGCGCCAACTTGATGTCTGAGAATTTAGACTTTTGCAAAATGGTATCTATGTTCGCAAGTTTGTATAATATGGTCTGTTTAGGTAAAATTTATGTTTTAGGTAAAAATTTATGTCATCATGATGTCGTATTTTTTATCCCACATAAACCTCGTAATCCATCCTGAGAACATAAAAAACTATGTTACTTAGCTTGGCTACATTTTAGGGCTAAACGTCTTGGATTGTTATGCTTGTAAGCTCGTACATGCCTGTTGTTAGTGTCATAGAGCATAGTATCAGCGACAAAACATGCAGATAGCACAAAAGGGGGTTTAACAAAACAAATCTGCAGGGGAACAAGAGAAAAAGAGCAAAATCGAAGGGTATGATAGTAAAACTACATCAAAACAACCCACATGATGGAAAAATTAGAACATATATTGTAAAAGTGCAATGATCTAACCATCGCAGAGGAGAATAAAACACATATCTAGTTCTCGTTTGAAGGCGTCAACTTTCTCCATCTCATCTTGGAGCCTGTCACCAATCCTAGAGCTTTGGATCTTCTCATACGCGTCGCAACTCCTCAAGACTCCCGAAGAACACATATATGATGTCGGGTATTATCGGACAACATAATCCTGGTGATGTTAAATCTGGGTATAATTGCGATGAATCTATAATTCAAAGTTCAAAAGATTATAATACACCAACATAAACAAGTAACTGAAATAGCAGAAGAACTTAACTAACACTTAATTGACAGGCCTTATAGATTTTTTAACAACCAAGAATAACCTATAGAATATGTATACCAATATGTACTTAACAAAATAATTTTAAAGAATATAACTTAATGAAAATGATTACTAACTTGGAAAGAATTCACGAACCTTATAGATCCAGTTACGCTGGACACTTGTGTTTATTAGAGGTAAGAATTTCTTATATGCAACGTACTTAGCAAAAGTAATAAAAAGAATGAAAGTGTGAAATGGAGATAAAAATGAAGAGTTTCTTTCCTTTGTTTTTTTTTAAATCGAAGTAAGGATAAAACGAATACTGAGATCTCATCTGTATTACTGGAAAGCCTTTTTCTTAGGGTTTTCAGCTCTGGCTTCTTCCTGCAATAAAATATCAGAGTTCAGAGACAATTATACAGAAAACTGTGAAATTTCAAAGAAAGGTTCATAACAGGTGGGTGATACAAACTTCGTCGTATAGAACCTTGGCATGAAAAGGTTCTTTTTGATATCTTGTTTTTGCCTTTTTTTTTCCGAAAATAGCCGATCGTGAGCCAACAGTCTTAATCAGCACCGCTCGCTGCTCAGGCGGTCACATAAATGAGATGCCACCTTCATCGGTCGTAGCTGCCGGCCGCTTGGTGAAGTAGCTCTACCGGGTCCTGTCTGAAGTTTCTAGTTGCCTCCGCTCACGGAAGCAGTCCGCCGATCTCCGCCTCCGGATAAATCAGCGAGAAAGAAGGGTGGATCTGACTCAAATACTACCCAAAAATTAGAAAAATGTCACCTTTGTGCTCATAATTATATGTAAGAACATAATAACTACAATTAATCTAAACAGAATGGAATGAGTTCCCAGATTCACCTTAGTTTTGGCATCAAAACTTCAGTTGTGAAAGCTAATTGTCGCAACTGGGACATCTTTGTTGCATTCTTCAATGCAAGATAATTGTACCTCGCAATTATCTAGTCGACTAAGGATAGAATCCCAAAATCATAAATGTTCCCTTGGATATTGAGATGGCGTCTTTCCAAGGAATTTGGAAGAATACAAACAGCCCCTTCGTTGCTGATTGTGTCTGAACTCTTTTCTGATATCGAAAGGACCGTTTTCCAGCATTCAAAATCAACCAGCTACAAAAAAAGTTGGGTAGAGAGAGAGAGAGAGAGAGACAGAGAAAGAAAACAACTAATCAGACAAGTGGAAGCAAGTGGATGATCATAGCATGTGATGTAAATGAACAATACTGACCTTAGAAGAAAAATCTTCAGTCAGATAAACTGAGCTAGAGTTCAATTCAGATATAGTAAATGGAGGATCAAGCTCTGTATGAAGATACTTCAGTCCCCGAGCAATGCCAATAATAATTTTCATGCGACGGGTCCAAGAAAACTGACATCCTTCTCCATCTGAAATTTACGAGTGTAAAAAAGTTGATTTAACAACTCAATCTACAAGGGGGAGAAAGAAAATGTTGCCATAACATAAACTACATACAATGAAGGTGCTCGTAGATTGTCCCATTCGATGTATATTCAAATACCAGCATCCTCGTAAACGGATTGCTCTCTCTGCAATATCCTAGAAATTTCCCTATGTTTTCGTGACTTAATCTCGCCAAATCAGCCACCTGAGCATGGATCCATAAATCATGCTTCTTATTCGATAGAAGTTAAGATAATCCCTACATGCTTATATGCAACATGATTGGCTAATGTTTAACTGAAAATAGGAAGAAGAGTACCTCTTGTTGAAAGTAAAGTTGGAGGTAGCCTGTCCAGTGCTCTTCTTTGATGCAAAGGGATATCACAGCAATTTCATGCCCACCTTTCAATGTCCCTTTGTACACAAGGCTATCTGGAGATGAGCCAATGATGTTGCTATAATCTTCACAGGCTACCTCGAGTTCTTTTCTGCTATATCTTACCACATTCTTCAATGCTTCAGAATCTGCACAAGAATTTCATTTTTAGCAATACAAAAATAGAAACATATGATGTATTGGATACCAAAATATATACATATACATATACATATCCCGGTGGTTTTGTCTGAATACCAAAATAGAGAAGAATCATTTTTCTCTTATGATTACAATACCCATCAAACATCTGTTTGTAGCTTACATACTACAACCTCAAAAAGAAAGGCGTGTTCGGTATTCGTAATCGGAGTAATATAGCTAACCTATAATTTCCCATTACTTTTGTTTTATTTTTTTCTTTCTTTCTGGGGTGGGGGGTTGTATTTGTAAATGGAATTTTTTAGCAATTAGATACCAGAGGAAATCCATAGATGTGTTGGGGATGTTAACTATAAAAAAGCAAGCTAAGATGACACTAAATCCAATATCAATCAGCCAATCTATTATGATTTTTTTTCTTTTTTTTTCTAAAGGATAGAAAAATAATAATAAGTTAAATTTCCCAATTTCTTTAGATTCACGCAGAAACATTCAAAAGAAAAATAAATATTACCATTTAGCAAATAGCTTATGTTGTGCTTCTTAACAAATCTCGAAGTATTGGCCAGCAAATTCTCTTATCCACGCTCCTACATAGAATGAAACTTTGTATGCATAGGTAGATAACAGCAAATCTGAAATTTGTGACCATAAAATGAAGGAAAAATATTACTAAAACGGGTGAAAGAGAGAAATATACGCACTTGAGTGTATCTAAAAGTATAATTAGGCGGAGAGAACAGAGCAAGAGGAGACGGACTTCAAGGTAGTACCAGACAACATCGCGTTGTGCGTGAAATGCGGGATCGCTGGAAATCACGCCTCCGCCGCCCCAAGTATCCTGTGGTAGAAATGCTTCAATTTGGCAAAGAGACGTGCCGCCGCCGTGGATAGATCCTACAAATCCAGTCCGCCCGCGAGTTTTCGATGGAGGGGAGCTCGGATTTTTCTCCGGCGAGCGGAGATCAGGAGAAGGAGGCATCGGTTGAGTCTGCGGCCTAGGGCTTCGAAGAGGCGGTCTGCGTCTTCACTTACGGACGGCGTGGTGGAAGAGAGAGATTTCATCACCCGCGTTTAACTTTCATTCAGATGATATGAGAATTGATGAGAGAAAATGAAGGGCAGCGTTGGTTTTGTGTCTGAAATCGGGATGGGATGTGATGCTTGCCTGTTTGACGAAAGCTTGTACCAAAAAAAAA